GGAAGGGATTTTTTCTAACACCTCCCCACACCTCTGGAAATTCCAGTTAAGCTTTATACATGTCTTTAAATTTTTTGGTCTCATAGAGTCCTTCACCCCCCAGGAAATTCTAATTCCTTCTGTGGGGCGAGTATGGATATTTTCTGGAACTGCACAATAAAGAATACTGTTAATAAAACATAACAACAGGGTAAGTATATAGATTTTGCCCACAAAATATAAGAATAATTGACTTTTAAAGCAAAACCATTGCATTCCCATACAAACCATTGACCATTATTCTGCAAAGCGAGAGTCACGTTCTGCGTATTCAAACTTGGTCACTATGTAATACTGTATACAGTATGTCGGTCGCATACATCACATTTCGCTGAATGTTCACATAAAAGTAAAAAAAAATAGATAAAAAATATGATAACTCCTCGCATCGTGAGCTTGGGCTGCCTGTGACTGGATGAAATAACCTGTCATTCGAATACAGTGTGTTCATTGTCACGAAACAAAATATAAAATCAAAAACCATTCAATGGATAAAGTCAAGAAATTGTGATATTAATGAGACGATAAATAAAGAAGACAGTTCTCCAATTTTAGGGTATGTGGATTGTCCCAAAGTTGAAATACTTGTTGAAATGTTCCGGGCAAAATTATAGAGCCTAGTATGGAGCTGCCATGTAGGTGGACCCTTAGTCCTCCAATATGGCGGCCGGAAAATGGTGTAAACATCTGGAACTTACTTTCGTTGGCTATCTAGTCGACTGATTATCTGAACCGAACCAGAAAACATTTACCAAGCACTTTTCCTAATACTTTATTTCCTAAAATGGCTAAAAATCACGAGATAAGTGTACATTTTTCGACAAACGCGATCTTAGCTTGATGTCACCTACCGCCATAACTCCCGACGTACCACAAATCAAAACAAATCGAACGTTCGATTAATCAAACTCAATCACGCGATTGGGTTCGATTGATTTCGGTAATCGAACACAATTGAACTCTCACAAAATTTTTGGAGCAATCGAACTAATCGAACTGTCAAAGCTGTCATATACTAACGGCAAAGTCGAGGGGGAAATTATGGAGCGAACTGACTTTTGGTTGGGGCGAAGTGATTGGGGGCGAAATGACTATGCGGCAAAGTGACCGGATGACGCAGTAGCTACTCAAAAACTTTTCTTACCTGTACAAATGGTTAGCACCATGGCAAGCCCGAAAGAACGGGAGAGCTTCATCTTCGAGGACTTGATTAATTCTCACCTTGCGAATACTGAGATCCACCCACGTGATCGTCCTGGAAAGTTAGGTAGCCTTGTCGCCTCGACCCCAGTCTCTCTCTCTCTCCTTTTCCTCCCCAGCTTATGGAAAGCTTGTGGACTTTCGACTTTCAACTTCCGTGAATAAGTGAATGTCTGGCGTCCAGTTTATTTCATCGAGCACGATCAGTAGCTTGACACCATGGTTTTGGCACTGGGAGAGTATTTCAAGAGAATAATAAAAGTGTCTATTAAAGGGAAGATAACGAGAACATGAACCTAGAAAACGTTTGTTTCTCACCTCGAGTCACTTTCGATCGCAAGTCGTGTTAGTCGTATTTCATTTACAGTATAAAATGCATGCACGCCAGAACGAAACAAATAAATACTTACCCAGTCGTTTGAACACCAAGGTAAAGCTTTTGTGCACAACCTTAAGCTCCTTTGTACAGTAGACAAGAGGTATCCAACCCAGAGTAGAATCACGGAACTGCGAAATACGCGACCCGATTCCTTTGAGTAAACCGGGAAGACCCTTGGAACCCATTGCACTCATTGCAAATCAGCTTCTTCGATCCGAAATCAAACGATTTGGGGAAAAGTCACCAGTTAAGGACCCTATTACAGTGATTCAACGAACAGAATACAAAATTTCCTGGTCACGGAGCTCTTTGTCAGGCCCAAATTACAATGGATTTTCCCAGGCTATCAGTGACTTTTCCTTCAGTATAAATGAGCGAGACTTCTATTTTTAACCCATAATGCAACTTGGGTCGTGTCCTTAAGAATTGGTAACTGACGGAAAGGCTTGTCTTGCTGTTCTGTTATAGCTCAGTAGATGGCTGTGTTGCTGACCATTACAAGGCCATTGTTTACGCGTGTAAAGCTTTTTAAGAAAGAGCCGATTAAATCAGAGATTGAGTTACTTACATGAATCCGTGGTCTTTTTCACGAATACATCCGGGGGTACTCTCTTATATAGGCTAAGTTAACCCGAAAACAGACTCCCGGTTCGCGGACCCCCCACTACGGACCGGGTCCATGGACTTCCCTACGGACCGGTCCACGGACTACCCCAACGGGCCCCCTCTACAGACCAACCCCAAAATAGAATAAATATAATAAATGAAGATTTCACTTACGGGTTGTATCATAGACCCGGGGGTGGTACTTTGGGAATTTCTGGGTGGGGATGTGCCGCTGGGACCCTGGAACCCTTAGCCTATCCCAGAGCTAGTTCAGCTGAATTTTGCTACCCTATACTAGAGTAAACTCCCCAAATCCTCACACCTATCGACACTGTTGAGGCTGATTTACGTAAATTTAAAAAAACTAGCCGATTTGATTTTTTTATATTTTTTAGTGGCAATTCCTGGTTTCCTTAGTCTAGAGAAAATCTTCAACTAACTGGTCAGTTTTGTGAAAAATGATACCCTATTCTAGACCCAAACGCTCTCATTTATATACCCTATCCTAGAGTAAACTGCTTGAAAACCATTCCCTTCACAGCGGCACATACCTATATAGCCCATATATGGCAGTGCTCCCTCCCCCGGGATTATAGATCACTTGTGTCGGCGAAATTTCGAGCGTAACGCTGTGCGAATGTAACAGACTTGGCTTTTTAAAACCCTAAAAATAATGTCTGAAACTGTTTTCGACGAAAAGAAATGCTGTTGGCAAAAAGAAAGAAAGTTAACTAAAATTCTTACCTTGGACCCTTAGCTATGTCACAGTGTTTTGTGTACCCCCGTACCCAAATCCCTAAAGTTTTAGGTATCCAAAACACTGAAAGCGTAAAACTGGGGCAAGTGAAATCATCCACAATTCTGCTCAAAACCCATCTATCTTCTTACGAAGCTTTGTCTCAATAAATTTTAATTTATGCACAATTCGTCTCTGAAAATAGTCGCAATTCCTGACAGAGTGTCTGATCTGAGTCCGCAGTTACAACGAAATACAAAACCGGATTCACGTGCCAAAGATCCTTGTATAAACATGCGCTTGGTGCCTGTGATAACGCTTGAAATGCACGTTATTTTAAACGAGAAAGGCGCTTTTTAAACCTCGGCAGCAGTGATTGAATTTAGCAGGAGCCATAATCGGGGACGGAGACCGTAAGTCTCGGGATTCACGCGCACCTATGATATGGGGCAATTTTTCTATTTTTAGAACAAATTGCGACATCCTGACGTCATATATCCGCGCGGATTCACGCACATGT